GTAGAGAGCGAGTGTTCCGCGACTGTCAAATCGCTTGCGGCACTACGCTACTACCGTAAGCGGCGTGCTCATCGTCTACTGTTCACGAACAGCATTCCGACTTTTATTGTATTCGAAGTGTTTTAGTACTACCTGACGAACTTCGCGTCAAATCTTTGTTATGGAACATAAATCAATGGTACAAAAATCCAGACAACGTTCGATACCTCTTCAGCATACGCAATATTTAGTTCCAATCCTCTGTTCAGCTCTCCCTATGCTCCATTCTTCTGCCTTCAGTCACTTGGTCTACAACAATTACCTACACGAAACATCTATACACAGAGATGACAGACAAAAAAATGCCATGAAAGAAAACAACTGCTAATGATAAGTACGTTAATGACGTTGACAATTTATATGTCTCACATGGGATATCGTCTTCGTCTTCATTCAAGAGCTTTACGGGACATCGTCTTCGTCTTCATTCGAAAGCTTTAATGAATGTTGATCGATCTGTAGACTTTATTAGTAGTCCACCATGACTTGTCGCTGTTCATACTTTTCGAATAGTTCTTGCATTCTATTTCCCTCACTGTTCTCCGTCATTTCTAGTTATTCGGTAAACAACTCATTTTTTATTCTTTTTCGTTTCATGTAGATGATATTATTTCTTCGCGACCGTTTCCGCCCATAAACTTTGTGAAAGGTTCCAATTCGCTTTATTCAGCGTAATATTATGTTGTTCGACAATTAATGGCGGATTCCAGTCTGTTTATAGAGTGGCATATTTCCACTCAGAATCAACTTCATGAACCCAAATAAAAATCATTGCTATCTGCACACTTAACAAAAGAATGTATATCGATTGCATGAAATTCTTGAGGCGATGAAACCGTAGGAGGTAGTTTCAGCCGCGGCTTGATTTCTGTAGCATTTCTGCCACAGAAAGTTATCGTAATCTTTGAAGAGGGGATAATCGGTATGCGAAAGATTCTACAAATACGCTAGACGATACAGAGTTTCACAGCCCAACTTGCTCAACTTTTGCAATACCGGTAGTGCGACGTGTGGCTGCGTGTTCTCGTTGTATTTTTCTGTCGAGCAATGTCGGCCGTTGACCTTGAAACTTGTGGTGTATTTCGTTGATTTTCTGGACGTAATTTCCTGCCATAATCGTTTTACTCGGATTCCGGAAACTGCATTGCATTAAACCAGCAAGCGGTTGGCACGATCTCTTGCTAGAATTTCGGCTGTGAAAATTACTACACAGCTTGGTCGCCGTCTAACCACTAGGCTGGTCGTCGCCGGTTGTCGTAGAGAATGCCATTCTTGGCGCACATGATAATATGGTTAAGAAACAGGTCGTTCTGGTTGCGCAGAAGAACCCTCAGTAATGCCTCAAGTTGGCGGTTTTTTTTGTCATCCAGTTCGTTCGGCACTTATGTGTGGAGCTTCTCCGACCTTACAATCGTATTTCGATGTTCCGAAACAAATGCTTAAATACTAGAATTGTTTACATAGAGTTCCTCTGAAAATTATCGAACACGACGTTATTGAAGAAAAACATCGAATTATCAATCAATGCCAACGTTAAAAGAAAGTTGCTCATGGGAATTCTCGAGCAATTGTGCATATTTGTTTCCACCAATCCATCAGTTTGTCGTCGTCGACAGCAGACAGACGTACGTGACCTCCTTCATCTTCAAGGTCGAATTGACAACGACGAAATCTTCCAAACCGACACTGCACTATGCTCTCGTTAACGTACACTTGACCACATTAATGTTTAGAACGATCATTGCGCTGCTAATCCTGGTTTGAACTCGAACAAATAGATTTGTCAAAATTCCCTGTCTTGGTAGCTTAAATTTTATCCTTCAAAATTGGTCGAAAACACAGTTTGTGTTATAAAAAAACTGTGCGAAATCAAAATGTATAAGGTCAGTTTTATCATGGTATTTGGTAGTACTGTATTTTAAGGCAAATCGTTGCTAAAACACATACAAGAAATTAAACAGCCTAGTAGTGCCCCAAAAACTGACCTTTCTTTAACCTCGGTTTGACTGATCATCATGTGTTTAAATTGTTGAGCTTACACGAGACCGTTATAGAGTTTTTATTCGGCTAACGTTTCGACGTCTTGTCTTCCTCGGAGCTGATGATCCGAGTTGATGTTCATAGTTCTTTGTACTCCCGACGTAGTGTCTTCGTTGTCGCATCGAGTAGGATTCTCTTCACTGGAACACCGCACAAATGAAGCAATCTCACCTGGTGGTGGAAAAAACAAGTTGTTATCACCGGACAATCATAGCGACAACAATCGTACTGTATAGAACAGCATCACGGGGTGAGATTGTCCCATTTGTGCGGTGTTCCACTCAAGGAGATCCGACTTGATACGACAACGAAGACACCACGTCGGGAGTACGAAGAACTGTGGACATCAACTCGGATCATCACCTCCGAGGAGGACGATGACGTCGAAACGTTAGCCGGATAAAGGTTGAATGTCAACCTAGTACTGTTCGATCGATCGTCTTAAGTTTAATGAATACTACTATTCTTGAGCTTTGTCTTGATGCTTATGAGGTCTCCAGTGGTGTTAGGTAATAGTCAAGTTTTGTCCGGGAATATTGGCCGATAATCAAGTTTGACTCAGGAATGTTAGGCAGTAGTCAAGTCTAATATTTTTTGGCAGTTGATGTCTTTTTTTTGTTTATGTCATGGTTCTTCACTTTATTTGAAGTTACTTCCTGATCATCTTACGAGGAAATCAATCAACGAAACCTTTCAATGTTTTTAGAAGTTGTATTGTTCTCGATAAACTGAAACGACATTTTTAGTACAATATTTATTGCATAGTGATTAATGTTTCTTTGGATCCTGCCCATTGTAGAGGACTCTAAAGAGTCATAGAGTGTGCTTTCGTTTTTCTTCCTCCCTCTCTACCTCATATGCAAATCTTTGCTCTACAGACATGGATTTTTCGATGTCTAGGCAGTCGAGAAATCTCACTTCACACTTCATACCGTACTCTGGAATATTCTACACCTGAAATGTTTTTTTTTAACATACTGATTAACTCACTCATATGAGATGCTGAGATATTTGCAAAACTCCAGACCACAGGTGTATGCAGTGGTGAACGAACACGCGCTGTTGTCCTTACCGGGGAGCAGCGCACTTCACTACTACACCATCCGGGTCACTTCACCATTGCACCGTACTGATTAACACCTAGAAACCGACCTTTCAACTATGCCACGTTGTTTTACACCCAATTCTTCGGCGCCTTCTAGTTACCAACCTATCCCGGCCATTACGTTCTGCTGTGTATGATGGGAGTCCAATTACATCAATCTATAATTGTTAAAACTTTCTATCATATCGTATGCACTGACTATATGTCGTATTAAGTCATTCACGTGGAAGGATGGCTCTTCACAAGCATGCAAATCGCGTTAGAGGCGTCGTGGAATAGAAGGTCAACGGATACGGATTGGGAACACGCCGAAATTCAACAGCACCTTATCATTGACCGTTGTATCACCCATCTACCTCATTTTCATCTCTTTCCTTCTGTTTATTTTGTTTTAGCTAGTGGTCAGGAATCTTCAAACTACATTACAATTCCTCAAGGGTTTCATGGTGCTACATATGGCGTTTCTATGCGGTTTTTCTTGTCAAATTCTTCTTACAAATTGCAAATGGCTTTAAATTGTGAAGTCTGTTTTTTTTTTCGAATGTGTGGACTGCCCTGCATTTATGGATTGCCATTTAACCTTGCACAGCTTTCGGAATCTATTATGCCATTGGAATCAACACTGAGCAAATCTCATCTATTCTTTCAGCGAATCATTCTTCATTCCGCATTAAAAGAGCAATTATTAAAAACACTCTACATTAAAAGAATTTCTGACCTCGTTTGAATATTTGCTCATTTTATTTTAAAAGAAACTATTTAGATTCTAAGCTTTGCTTACCCATTCTATTTTCTTTTCTCTAGCATTTAGCTACTTGACTGCTTAATTCGACGACAAAATGCTTCAGGATCGTCGTTTTTCAACTATCTTTATCATGTTTTAGACAACCAGCGAATAATTTGAGAACCAGATGAGGACGGAATATTTGACGACGACGTTGAAACCCTTCATTTGGGAGAGAATTGGAGACACCTTCACTAAGCTAAAAATGGAATGCAGTGATATATGGATGGATCTGAAAAACCGAGATCGTAGGATTATTCGATTTTTGTAAAATAAACGTTATTAAAAGTTCGGAGGAAGTATTCTTGTTTTCTGAAAGGCTGGAAACCTTGATTTAAATTTACGCGGCTTTTGTCATGTTTTCGTATGAAAATATTGCCAAATAGCAGAAAATCTATATAGAATCAGTAGACGGTTAATTACAGGATATTCGTTTGGAGCATCGACGTTACAAGTTAACTATTCTTTACAACGGTTAAATTGATAACTTTTATTTAATCTGTGCAGTTCCAGAGATGCAATTTTTTTGGCCTATAAACACACCAATCGAGGTTCAGGAGCTTGTTGGACCGGAACGGTGACTTTCTATGATGTGCTTTCTATTTAAGCTTAATAAAATATTCGGCGTTGATCCATATCTTAAAAATTCGCAATGCATTCGAATTCATTAGACATCGTAGGGGCTGTGAAGTACATATCTGGATTATAAAAGGACTCGCACTAGGTTACTGATGTATCAAGTCAGTGCTGCTGTCCTCCCAGCTTGGTCTAGTATCAGTATCAAGGAGAACGACGCGCCCACGCGAAACGCTTGGCCAAAACAAAATCCCGTTTATGTTGCCTTTTATAAGCGATGAAGTAAGCGCAGCTATAAAACGATGCTTAAGCAGGGCAGATCTAGAGGAATCGGTAGCGATAGTTGAAATACCACCGACTACTCTACGTCGCCAATTAGTTCGCAACCGCCTGTATGACCGTCTGTGTGAAACAACAAATTGCGTAATTTGCCCTTACGGCAGGGACGGTGATTGCATGAGTTCAGGTACGATATACCTGATCTCGTGTAACAATTGCGGAGATGAATATATTGGCGAAACGGGCAGACCTTTGTGTATCCGTATAAAAGAACACCTAGATGGCAAACGAAAACTAAGACGAAGCACCCCACTAGGCACGCATAGGATACAAAAGCATAGCGGAGACGATTTTGAAGTGAAAGTCAATATCCTTGCACAGCAGTCCAAAACACCAGCGCGAAAACTCCTTGAGGCTTTTTGGATCAATGCCAAAAGCCCTACAATGAATAGCAGGGACGAATGCCCGGAGATCATACGCGACCTGATCTCGTACGTTCGCATCGATTTTTGATTTGGGGTGGTGCAGTCGTCAACCACATGCGACTATAATCAACTGTTCTAAACTTCCTCATTGGAAGTCACGAAAAAAGCGGTGGGTTTTTCGAGAAGTTGTTGATTATGTAATTGCCGGAGAGTTCTTCGTCTTCTTGTAAGTGTTATTGAAGCGTTTGGCCTAGTAGATTGTATATCAGTATACCCTTCCAGGCTCTGAAGAAGGCGATACTGCCGAAACGTCAGCTCGCGTTGTATTGTATTGTGTTTTCTTTATGGAAGTAAATGTATGCTGTTTAAAAACCTCGCGATTGCTGAACAAGAAAACGACACATTCTAGTATCAGTTTCCCGACTCAGGAGACAGAGAGTTGTCTTCGCGATATTAGTTGCGGTCCCATAGAACTAACTGGTAGTGACTTGATACATAAGTGGTCCACCGCCGCCCATCACTACTGGTGAAGATCTATTTTAATTCACCAGCAAATAAACGTGAAAAATCGAACGATCTTCAAGGAAACATTACAGTAGTCATCAAATTCCACAAGCTTTGTGATATCCATGTTTCTCAGGTCCTTCTTGCTTCCAGATTTGATGCTTCGTTGCCAAAATATCAGATGCCATTTTTCTGGATGAGTACAGGAGTACCTGCAACACCATCATGGTGAGAATGTTCCTTTCCAAATGTTTTTTAAAATTCGAGATTTGAAATATTTTTTGAGGATCTTTGGATTTATCGTAACTAGTTATGAGAATTTTGGTCAACACCATTGAGTATATATAGTATATATATATATATATATATATATATATATATATAGTATGTACCATTGAGTATTCTCTTTTTTTTCTTGGAGCGCTATTGTCTCATTTTTATCGGTTTTAGGGCGATGATCGTTTGTCTAATCGAATGCGCCTTTGGTTTCTTTTCATACTTACTGAATATACTCCATTACATTCTAAATCTCACTAATTGTGAGGATACACGTTTACCGTTACTCATTTTCTTCTTGACTGTTGGACAATATTCGTTATTTTATTCGTTTAAGGTATGTTAACATTCTTACACCGTTATAATCTTTGTGGCGTTTTGTTTTAAAGGTACTCTTGCAGTTAAGAAACCATGTGACCACCGTGACCCTTCGGGTGCATTAGAATACAGATAGAGTGGTTTTTGATAAAGCAATGCTTGAAAATTACAATCTTGAAAAGTTACCAGTTATGGATTATGGATATGCAAGTAAACAGATGACAAGACAAATGACTGTTTTGTCAACTCACCTCTTCTAGGTGCTTTTTGTTGTTGCCATTTTGGAACGAAGAGCACGTTTGCTACGTATACAGCTGTTGTTTCAATACACAACATGCGTATTTCTACTACTTGATGCTGCTTTTGCTTTGGCAGCAGATCTCGGCGGTTACAACGAGGAGGTAATGCGATGCAGTTAGCTAGAAGAACAAATTGAATGTCAGTCATTGGTTAGCTATAAGTTATGCTCACACATAACGCCCCTGACCGTGAAAAGCCTAATTTCATGGCGTCTGCACCAGTAGTGAAACTCGTCCGCGAATAAAATACAGCAAAGAGCGAATGATGCCGGTTTTTTAACAGTCTATGCTTGTTTAATAGACGGTGGACTTGAAAGGTTGCGAATATTACAGAGTTCGCCTTGCTATAACGATCTAGAGCTGTATATGTTGTCATTCACTACCTCTTAGTATTGTCTATAAGTTATTCACACTATAACCTAAGCACTTTGACGTATTCAGAAACTTCTATTGAGTTTATTTCCAATTGCTTTTTTATCCACCCATTCAATATAAAATTTACAGCGGTTCGAAATGAAGTGATAGCCAATTATCAGTTAGAAATTGAGTCCTGCAGGTCGCATATAACGAAATGCATTCCTTTTTCTGCAGCTCCTCACAAATTTTCGATATGTGGAGGACTTGGAAGCTTAAGGGCATGATAGGCTCATAGAGAAACTTTTCCTTTTCAATCCCCAACATCGACTTTCTATTAATCTCTGCACTGGATTGCGAACATCTCGTTTTCACCTTTCAGTCTATGCTATGCATGCTAGATCAACTAGCACTAAACAGAAATAGATTCCTTTTCGAAAGTAGCAATGAGGAAGATGGAGATGTGAATGACACACCCTACGTTGAATTATATTAGCAGTCGCCTACTCTATGACCATCGAGCTACTCTGAAAGGAGTCCCTTCAATGACTTTTCACCTTGTCGTATCGAAAAGGTGTCACTAAGTCGGGAATAGAATGTTCACTTGGACATACCTTCATACCTTCTTCCATTACAACAGTACCTGTTTTGGATACCTTTTTCACGTTTATCGACTCATCTTAGCTGGCGAGGGGATGCTTCTGGATGTCGAACTGTGATCTAGCTCAGGTTATTTATCTTCTCAGCGAGGCCTCCTAAGCTGAGAAGAAGTCCAAAGTTTTCATCCGAAAGCTAGTTAAGACTAAATCAGTACCAGGGATCGCCACAATCCTATCGCTTGATTTTAAATCTACCTCTGATTCATATGGGCCGGTGATATCCTGTGGTGGTGATGACCTGAGCAAAGCTTCAACTAATCTGACCTCGCGACTCCAGACAACCACAAATCACTTATAGATAAATAATCTAGTCTTATTACCCCCTACACTGCCATTGGGTGCTCCCGTATACGAGGTCTGGCAATGATACAACTAGTGAGAGACGATCAAATCTCGTGTTTCTGTAAGACGTCATTGTAACTTGACCAGACGAAAACGCCCACAACATGCATCGGAGATTGCTTCTTGCACCGCACACATAGCACCAGAACGGTTTTCAGATTCCGACCTTTACCCTTTTTTCTAGACCACTGGTCACATAAAATTTTTAGTGACTCTCCTATAAGCGAAGAATAACAGTAAGACCATCATAAGCCAGTTAGATAATGGAACTTTTGTAATCTATAGAGAAGAATTTCCGTTACGAAATGTCGGAGATCGAAGTGACAGGACGTCAATGAAAATTCATTTTCTGAGAAGGCAAAAAAAGCGTGGAATTCTGCTAAACGCACAACGCACGACGCTTGTTATGATGTGCCATATACTTGCTAACATCTGATGGTGCCTCTTTGACACCTCGATAGTGCCCGGATTCTGTACTGGATCCGATAATTGCCTCTTCAGTGAGCAGATTCGACTCAGCCGTAAGGTGGGAAGGAACTCCTCTCAATCTTCAAAAATAACTAAAAAAGTTGTTTTTTGAAAAAGCAGTGTACGACGGGAATATACTCAATAAAATTCTATCTTCATATGACTGTCTGAAAAAGAATTATCCCACCGAGCCTACAGGCTGTTTGTCTGAGGACTTAAAACTTGTCCTGAACTTGCCTCACTTCCTCTAACAAGAAGTTCGGAGCGCATCTCCATCACCACTAGCGAATTGCTCGAAAAGAGAAGGAAACTGAAGCATGATTCTACTGCAAAGCGCCTAACACGATTGGTAATAAATGCACTTGGGGAGGCAGGAGGATTAGCATCAATATATGCGGAGAAAGTTCTTGGATGCAGCTGGAAAACCATCTAGTCTGAAGAAATACTGGAGGAATCTGGGCGCCTATGAGATTTCGCTGCCGCCGTGGTGGAAGATAATAGAACTCACAAAAACTTTTATTTGCTGCCTATTTTTTTATGTAGCGTATTGCGTGAAATAAAGCCACAATAATACTGAGATATGAGGAAAACTCAGAAACTCGCGTGAGTTTTGAACTCACGATTGCCCTTTCCTGAGTCTCATGTATTATCCACCGCACCAACCAATGCCCTTGCTTTGCCTTTCTCTCAGCCAGTTTTTCGCCCTAACGGTGCTATCAACAGTTCCCGTCGAAAAGAACGGCCTGGAGAGTAAAATCGGCATTGAACCCATTTAAGCTGAACTGCTCTCGCAAAGAGTACTTTCGCGTTCGAAGTGAACCTGCGCTTCCTAGTTTTGCTCACATCTCAGCACATTTGTGAAAATGGAAAAGTCACCATATCCTGCCATGATCACCGATATCATCTGTAGTCCCGTTGATCATCGAGTGACTCGAGCGGGTGCCAGTAAATCTTCCATTTTCCCCGTCGCGCGCAAGAGTATCCCAGTGGGTTCTGCTCGCTCTAGGGATTCGTCGAACATCATGTCTTTCTTCTAGGCTCCTCGTGAAGAACTCTAACCATCGGGTTGGTGGTTTTCCTGCAGTACGTTTGACATTCCGAGGAATCCAGTGACCAACGGCTCTTGTCCATCGGTTGTCATTCATACGCATTACGTGTCCGGCCCCCTTACCTTCGACTGTTTGGCGTAGAGAACGGCTACTTGTGTGAAACGGGATACTCCTAGCATCGTCCTTTCGACTTCGCGGTCGATAACGCTGAGTGATCTTTCATCCTGCTTACTCAGCAACCAGGTTTCTATCGCGTACGTTAGGGCAGGAGGTACCGTTGAGTCGAAAAGGTGGGGACGTAGTCGGGCGTTCTTTGTTCTCTTCACTACATCCTCGATGCTCTTGAAAGCTCCCCAAGCAGCTCGTTTTTTTTTGCTCAGCTCTGGAGCTAGGTCGTTCTTCATAGTGACTTCCCGACCCAGACGGATAGAACTGGAGCATTCGGAGATATTTGTTCCGTTGAGCGTGAATGGAGCGTGCGAAACCAATCCGTTCTTCATGAACATCGTTTTTGTGAGATTTGGGCCAAGACCAGTCTTTCCACGGGCTTTATCAAAGCCGTCAAGCATACATTCCGCCTAGCTAATGTTTGGTGTTATAAACGACGATGTCATCAGCAAAGTGACAATGGTGTTACTGCCGACCATCGATTCTCACTCCCATATTATCCCATTCCAATGTTCGCATGGCGTTCTGGAGAGTGGCGGTAAACAATTTTGACCAGTTGGTATCGCCTTGGCTAATTCCTCTTTTGACGTCAATGTTAATATCGTTGTAGAATGGTGATATCTTGGTTGTGAAATTTTTGCAAAGTTCACGAAGAATTTTTATGTACTGAGTAGGGACTTCCTGACTATCAAGGGCTTCTATAACTGCTTTTATTCCAAATGAATCAAAGGCTTCTGTAAATCGAAGAAAGTGAGACAGAGTGGTCCTTTGTACTCTCGCGATACTTCAATGAGCCGTGTTACCGTGTGGATGTGGTCCATCGTACAAAATCCTCGTCAAGTGTTCTCTCAATCCTGTTAAGGACGACTTGAGTGAAAAGTTCGTAGACGACAGACAGCAAGCAGATTGGACAATAGTTGCCGATGTCGTGTAGGTCACCCTTCTTGAACAATAACACGGTCTTGCTGGTCTTCTATTGAGTAGGGACCTTACATTCAGACAGATAACGTGTGAAGAGCCGAGCCACTGTGTTTACGAGGACTGGCGGAAGGTTTTTCAGGTGTTCTAGTTTTATCCTGTCCGGACCTGGTGCTGTTCGATTTTGCTCCGACGAAATGGCATGTCGATTTGGGAATGGAGAATCGATGGTACAACATATCCATTCTCCTTTATTTCATATGACGGAAGATGGCTATCGAAAGATCTGAGTAGTATTCGTGAATGATTTTCTCCATTGCCTTTCTGGACGCTGTAACTATTCCGTCTGGGCGTCGGAGTGCAATCATCTTGTTCTTGCAAATGGCGAAGCTTCGGTGAGCTTTGCGAATGCTTTTCCCAACTTCTTCAGCTTCGACCATTACTACTGCCCTTATCCCTTTAAGATCTTCTTTTATCGCCTGTCTGCATTGTTTTGCAAGTTTGGACGTTAATTCGCGGTTGCCTGCAGCTCGTGCGATTCCACGCTGGCGTTTCTCGAGTGTTTCTGGAGACAGACGTCCCTTGGTAACTTTCGAAGTCTGAGCTTTCATAGCGCTAGCGTGAAGATTTTGAACGAGCCGATCGTATTCTTCGCCGATATTATCGACAACGGCATCTTCCTAACAGCCGACTAATGAATTGAATAACGGTGGTTTACGGTTTACGGTGGTTCTGAAAACTTCAGTTTTGGAATTTAGCGGCTTTTTCTCCCTTCCGCGAAAAATAGAATCTTGCACGAAGGAGGCGATGGTCTGATCCCGTGTAGAATTTTGGCACAACAGCGGCATCGGTTAGGCAAAACCGTCTATTTCCTATGGTATGGTCTATTTCGTTATGGTACCCTCCATTGAGAGACTCCCACGTTCAGCGCTGACGGTAGGGCTTCTGGAATTCCGAGTTACCGTGGATTACCTTGGTCGCCATGATAAACTCAGATAGCCAGTCACCCTGTTCGTTCCATTCTAGTCCATTCTAATTCCAATGTGACGTTCTTCAGACGTTCTTCTTGGTCCAATATTGGCCCTGAAATCTCTAATAATGACCTTGAAGAACGTATGGTCTTCTTTGTAGAACTTCTTCAAGTCCATATAGAACGCTTCAACTTGTTCTTCTTCATAATTTGATGTCGGAGCGTAAACGACGAGGATTGTCAAGGCCGGAATTGATCCACATCTTGCTAATCGTAAACATCCGATCCGGGTTGTAAGTTGTTCGAATGAATCGATGTTCATGGACAAACTCCTGTTGACGAGAACGCCGACGCCACCGACCCCTCTACTGTCGCGTATTCCGAGAAACAGTTCTTCTCCGGTGTTTTACACAGCGTTGAAGGCCTGGCGTCTTCTCGTCTCGGCCAAGCCGATAACGTCGTACCTCATCCTTCTTGCTTGCATGAGCAAGTCTTCTATCGAGGAATCGGATGCAAGTGTACGTGCACTGTAAGTGCAGATTGTCACCTTAGTTCCTTGCAATCCAGAGTCAATTGGCCCTGAGATCGTAGCTGCCTCTCCGTACTCGTCCTACCCAACGCTGCGAAATTGGAGGCTGTTTCGGGGTCAGGGGAATGAGGCCCGTTTTTTTTTACTGTGTTTAGCATTTTTGATACCCACGTATAGCTTGCTAGGCTGTGAACGTGGGGGCTGGGTATACCCACGGGTAGCTTTCCAGGCTCTGCCAGAGTGGACATGGAGCCTATTTGTTGGAGGCGACTCCTAACCGCCTCCCATATACTTCCCAGTCACTTGTTTGCTGGCTTTTGGCCGAATTGACTCGTAGAATACAATCCGCATAAACAAGAACGCATCCACACACTCATGCATGAATACGCCTAACAAATACAGAAAGTATATGCCACATCAGGGCATCAGAAACAGGGAGTCCAAACCCTGGATCCGGCTGCGTCTCAACGAAACCAAAGTCGCTTTTGGTTTGCGATTCTTGGGTCTCTATCTGCCACCTGGGGACGTCCCACGTTGCCCACGAGGTCTATCGTGAAATTTTGTAAGAAAGAACTACTAGAAATAATCTTTACGAAATAAAAACTGGAAAAAAACGAATCAATTCTCTACATTAAGGCGATTTACTGTCAGAAGAATCCATCATTAATTCGAATAGTGGCAATAGCTTCGTTGATCTTCTTATTCGTCCAACTCTATCTGCGAGCGATGACTGTGCAAGTCTATAACTTCATTTCAGACACAAGGAAGTTCAGGTAGATTGATTTGTTAAGTCACTTATACCTAGAGAAGGACTTAGGTTTAAACTGCGTATGAATTAGCAATATCTTCACTGGATAAGTTAAAACAGTGTTGGTAAATATTTTCTATTGCGGCTGAAGCTCGACGATATTGTTCGGAGCCATGTCGTTTCCAGTCACTCCGACTTGTTATATTCTTCAGAGATACCTGAAATCAACTTGGCAATCCAGAGACATCCGTCGACATTTTAAAAAATGAGACACCCATGCTAGTTTATTTAAGGTAGAAAACATAAAACAAGCCATTTTGGTTCATGCTTCGATAGCTACACCTGTAGCACAGTGGTTAGAGGTGCCTCGCAATACACATTTGACCGGTAGTTCGATCTCGCTCGTTGGATTAGCCAAGTTTCTCATCCACCCAGGATCACCACATTGGTGCCGGACTTCTCTGAGAGAATAATATAACTACCCTAACACATCGGTAGACCACTGCAGGATATTTCATAGATTAAATTTGCATTCAACCGCCTTTAACGATGTTGGGTGAAGTCGTATGAATGGTGCATGTATTCGAAGGAACCTCTGAGCAGTTCGCATGGATACCTGTGGATGCTGAAGAAGCAGAACATGGACCGCCCTGTCATTGCACATAGTTACATGATTTGAGCACATGAAAATACAGGAATGACTGAATGCTCTCTGGCATCTCAGGAGGAAGTCAATTATATTGCACTTACTGAATTATATTTCAGAAATGCGCTATCTAGTGCGAGATCTCGTTACAGAAAACGTGTCTATTTTTCTTATTGTTCTCTCATGCAGGAAGATCTCAAAAAGGAAAATGAACGGGTATGTGTTGGATAAACTGAGAAAATCGGAAATGGGAGTGAGATCACTTTGCAACACTCCGTGCTGCAGTTGTCTGCGAAGGGGTACGAACGCGCTATTACCCTTTCCGGGGGCTAACGCGTTCACACCGCACCATACTCGTCCTTCATTTCGCAGGTCTCTCAGCTAATTTTTCTTAGACTGGGCAGCAGTAAAAAGTTAACATTGAGGTCTTTTTGTTGGAACTAAATAGGGCTGTCTCTGATGTAGTTCCTAATTAATTCATTGCTGACTTTTAACTGAGTCGATGTGCAGATTACAATCATCAAGTATTCAAGCGCATGAACACATTTATTCATTGATGTGGTTGTGTATTATAGGAATATTATTGTAATGAATTTGGCGAACGTAATACAGTTATATCGTCCTCTGAGTCCAGTTCTTTATCAAGATAAGCCCACATTCTCTTCTGATCAAGCTTGCAACCTCTTATCCGACACTGGAAGCGCCACGTAACCTTGCGATAAAGGGGCAATGGGTCTTTCATTTCTCATGAGCGAAATCAGTGAAAATTGTTTCATATTTTTATAATTCTAGTTAATAGAATTTAAAGTGAAGTTGCAGAAGAAACAAGAAATTGGTAGGAAGAATATTCGAGAGAAACAAGAGGAAGCGTTCAAGAGACTACAGCTGAAACAAAATGTCACGCATATTGTTATCGAGAACGAATTATCACCTACGGCGGCGCATGATCCAACGCCTGAAACCTCAACTTCCTCCCATTCGACAGTGGTGAGTTCGAGGAATTCATTTAATTGTGAGGTTACTGTTGACTTAACGGAGAAGTCTATAGGAACGGAATTGCTGAATGTGTATAATGCACAAGAAAGTTGATAGATGAAGGAGCATGTTGATTATAACAAATTACTTGCTTAGATATTTGCTAACTCGCCTTTGCAAATAATCCGAACCATACCCTGATTTCGTTTTGATTGGTATTTTGCTAATTGGGAGAAGTTCTAAGGTAGCTTCACCAATTCGCTGGTGATCACTGAGACCATCTCCTGAATCTTAGGAGGTTTTCCGCCTTAAGACCACGTTTGTTCCTGAATTTAAGCGATTCCTGGTATCGAGATTTCTGGTGAGGTCATTCTTCAGCAAAGGTGGTCGTACTGTATAGAGCAAAATGGTCACGTTTGGTAATCAGAAATCCAAGTTTGGTAATCAGAAAAAACCCATTGGTACGATTAGGGGTGATGTTTTGTGCTGAAGATTCTCTAGTAGTGTCCTGTCACCATGTATCAATTTCCAACATTTCAGACAACGTCATCACGAGATGCTCCCAACTCGATGCCACTCGTTCTTGGGAAACGTAAAATTACACTGCCACTGCGAAAATCAGCTAAGCGGCGAAAGGTGATTTTCTCCTGAATTCCTTTGGCACTATTTTTTATTTTTTTTTTAATTCACCTATCAGAAAATGGCTACATTACAAAGTGGTACCGAAAGCCAAGTAGTAAAAATATCTTGGTTCATTACCTCTCCTCTCACCCCTCTCACACGAAAAGGGCGCTTATGAGAAACATGTTTCGAACAGCAACCAACGTGTGCACGGGAAGAGAGCAGAGAGAGGAGTCCCGGAACTTGGCACGGCAAATAGCGGTTTCTAATGGCTACGAAACTGTAGCTCAGAATAGGTGTAGAGGAAATCGTAGGCCTCCAAACGACAACTCTAGCGATAGAAGGGTCCCGTTTATCCTACCCTTCATCTCAAATGATATAAGTACAGCTATAAAACCCTGCTTAAGAAGGACGGGCTTAGAGAATTCGGTGAGCGTAGTTGAAATACCACCGAGTAATCTTAAGCGCCAGCTAGTTCGTAACCGCCTATATGACCGTCTATGTGCAACTCAAAATTGCATAATTTGCCCCAGTGGTAGAGACGGTGATTGCATGAGCTCGGGTATAGTTTATCTGATCTCCTGTAAGACTTGTGGTGACGAATACATTGGCGAAACGGGTAGACCCCTCTGTGTCCGCATGAAAGAACACCTAGCCGGCAGAAATAGACCAAATACCCCGCTAGGAACGCATACGACCCAGAGACATAACGGGGACGACTTCGAAGTATGTGTCACGATTCTCGCACGCGAATCAAGAACACAGGCGCGAAAAACTCTCGAGGCACTCTGGATTAATTCCAGAAATCCGAAAATGAACCGCAGGGAAGAATGCCTCATTATCACGCGTGATATAAGGCAGTATATAAAACTGCTTTTCTGATGTGAGGGGCATTATACTTCCACGTGATTTCTGTGCGGTTGGTCTCTACGTGACATACTTAGTGGAAACCTCATAGAACGCGGTGAGTGTGCAGAGCTGTGTTCAAAGTGATTGAAATCTTGGTTTGGAGTTTCTTTGTTTGGTTATGGAGGCGTCTGGCCGGGTGAGCTGCTATCAACTTGACCTTTCCAGGCTCTGAAGAAGGCGAAATTCGCCGAAACGTCAGCTTAATCGTGAACAAAGAATAGTAACACCTCGCGTTTGCTCAACAAAAATACGAAGAAAATCACTATTTTTTAAGACAATCCATGGCCGATACTGAAATAGTCACCAACTTACCCCATAGAGGGGCCGCGAGGCAACGTGTTAAGCTGGCGGATAATTGATTAATCGTGAGCCAAAAACGATTACTGCTTTGTTTCTCAGAGGTGTAGGTGGAGCCAGGTGATGGATTCTCTGCTTCTGTTGCGCCAATTTGGAACATACATTCAGCGTTTAAGAAGATGCATTCATGCACTCGTCCATGCGTGTATTTTCGTTTATGCATATTGTATTCTCCGATTCAACTTGGCCAAAAACCTCCAATCAAACACTGAAGATTTGTATAAATGAGGCGGTGAGGAGTCCCTTCCAACAAATAAGCTGCTCGTCTACTGTGAAAGAGACTGGCAAGCTACCGATGAGTATATCCAGCTCACACGTTCACAACACAGCAACCTATACGTGGGTATCAATCGCTAACACAGTGAAACTCATTCCCATGATTCCGAAAGAGCCCTCGATACGAAACAGTTGTGTGATAGGACGTCTACACAGAGACTGCTAAGATCTCAAGACCATTGTTGGCCACCTAAATCCCAAAGGACTAAGGAAGATCTGTGCCTGCAATGCTCGCCCACTCATATAGGAGTTCTCGATAGAGAATTTGATCGTGCAGGTAAGATGGATAAGGTACGACGTAATCGGACTCGATGAGACGAAAAGACCCCACCCATTCAATTGTCTATGACACCGAGGAAAACTGTTCCTTGGAACATACGACAATAAAGGCGTCGGAGATCTCATCAGCATGAGTTTGGCCATGAACATCGAATCATTTGAACGACTAAAAACCCGAGTTGCACTTTTTCGGTTGAAGAGATGTGGATCAATGCCGGCTTGGTTTTGCCAGTCTTCATCGTCTACGCACCGGCATCAAACTATGATGGAGACAAAGTCGAAGCGTTCCACTTAGAGGTAGAGAAGTTTTACAGGAATTACCAAACATTGTATAAATTCGTTTAAGACTTTAATCCTAAGACTGCACAGCACCCAGAAGAATGTCTGAAGAACGTTCACACTAGGAACACGGATTAGAATTGAACGAGCAGAGCGAGCGCTTTCTGAATTTATCACGAAAACCAAGACCATTGATGGTAAATCGCAATTCCAGAAGCCCCATACTCAACGTCGGACATTGCACTCCGTAGTGAAGAATGGCATAATGAAACATACCAAATAACAATAAGTCAAGGGTTGTGTCTACCCGATGTCGCTATTGTTCCAAAATTCTACACGGTATCAGACCATCGCTTCCTTCCTGCAAGATTTCTTTTCTTCAGGAAAGGAGAAAAAGCCGCTTAATTCAAAAAACGAAGTCCAAAAACCACCATGAACTGGAGCTTATTCAGTTCATTAGTCGGCTGTTGGGAAATGCCGTTCTTCACAACATCGACGAAGAATACGATCGGCTGTTAGCGCTATGAAAACTGAAACTTTAAAAAGTCTCCATCATACGTCTGTCTCGCGAAACATCCGAGCTTATGCGGCAACGTGGATTTCGTTGAGATATAAGCTAACCAGAGCTGATCTGCAAACTTGCAAAACAATGTAGACAGGCGTTTAAAGACGATCATAAAGAGATAAAAAAACCAATTGTGGTCGGAGCTGCAGGTACTGAGAAAAGCATCCGCAAAATCCACCGAAACTTCGCCAATGACAAAACCAAAATGATTGCACTCCAATGGCTCGGCGGAAAAGTTACAGCTTCCAGGAAGGAAATGGAGAAGACCATTTAAGATTACAGTTCGAACCTTTTCAATATCCACGTCCTCTTGCCCTGATATGGATTTAAAAAAAGATGGAAATGTCGTCCTGCGGTTCTCCTTTCTGAAATCCGATATGCTACTTCGTCAATGAAGAATCGAAGAAGGGCCTTCTGTCAATCCTCATAAACACATTGGCCCGGTTGTTCACGTTACTTGTCAGAATGCAAGGTTCCTATTCACGAAGACCAGCAAAAGTGTTTTATTGTTCAAAAACGGTGACCTCAACGATGTCGGCAATTATCGTCCTATCTGCTTACTCTCTTTCGTCTGCAAACTCTTCACTCGAAACATCCTGATCAGGATTGACAGAACACTGGATAGAGAACAGCCATTTGGGCAAACAGAGTTTCGAAAAAGGTACAGTACGACTCTATCCATACACTAACAAGGCTCAATGAAGTACCGCAAGTTTACACGTGGCTACTCCGTTCCATTTTCATCGATTTAAGAGAAGTTTTTACTCAGTGGAGATAGAAGCAATCATGGAAACCCTGAAAAGCCAAGGCATCGCTGCTCAGTATATAAAAACTCCTTATGAGCTATAAAACTTCACAATCAAAACATCACCATTCTACAACAATGTCAGAATCGACGTCAAAAAAGGGGTTTGAAAAGGCTATACGCTATCGCCAGATTTATTTACAGCCACTCATGAAACATCATGCGAACATTGGAATGAGGCAACATGGGAGTGAAAATCGGAGGTCGACAATTACACCATCTTCGCTTTGTTGATGACATCGGTCTTATAACAGCAAACATTACACAACCGTAACGAATGCTTACCGACTTTCATAAAGTGTATGATAAGATTGGTCTTCGACTAAATCTCAAAAACTATGTTTAAGAAGAACGGATTGGTTGCGTATGCCACATTCACGCTCAACAGTACAAATATCCCGAATACTCCAGTTATGACTCTCCAGGTCAGAAAGTCGGCATTGTGAGCGACTTAGCTCTGGAACTGAGCAAGAGGAACTGGCGGCTTGAGGAGCTTTCAAGAGGATCATGGATGTAGTTAAAATGATTGAAAAAACACCCGACTCTGTGCCCACCTTTTCAGCTTCACGGTTCTTCCTAACTAAACATATGCGTCGGAAACGTGGCCACTACGTGAGAAGGATGAAGGATCAGCCAGCTTTGTTGAAGGCTCGTTCGCAAGACTGATGCTAGGAGTAACTCGTATCACGCGGTGAAGAAAACGGTCCGATGTTCCAACCTACGTCAGCGACCAAAATTCTAAGACACCGTTCTATAGGCCAAATTGTTGAAGATAAATGGGCCGCATTCGTAGTTCGTATGAACGATAACTGATGGACAACAGCCGTTAACAAATGAATTCCTCGACATGTCATACATACAGCAGGAGAACCATCAGCACAGTTGTCAGAGTTCTTCACAAAAACTCTTGAAGAAACGCGTGATGGTGAAAGAGTTCTTGAATCAAGTAGAACCCCCCAAGCTACTATTGCACGAGACAGAAAGAAATACAAGGCTTAGTGCTTCTGTTCGTGCCACTCGACG